AGAATTTTGGGTTTTTTTCTGTGAATTTGCTGCTTCTGATTTGGGTGTTCTGGGCTTCTTCGCAGTTTCGTCTTCTAACTCAATTCAAGGAAAGGGGTTTAACTTTTTGGGCTTTGATTCATTTTCTGGGGAAATTTTGCTGCAGATTCTCTGTTGTTACTTTTTTTTCCTATGTTTAGGCTGTAACACTGCGAAAAAAAATCAATCTAATAGACTTATTAATTGGATAAAATGTAGTTTTTTTGTTAGATTTCTTAAGAATTTCTTGCTAACTTGTGCTTCAGTTTTTTTTGTTTGCTTGTGTTTCAGGAAATGAAGTTTGATGTTGTGTATTTGGTTATCTGAAGGTTTGAGTATAGTGTTATTAAGTCTGGTTTCATTTCTTGTCTTCTGTTGTGTTGTGTATCTCAGACCCTTTAAAGGATTTCTTGCTAACTTGTGCTCCAGAGTTGAGGTTGCTTGTATTTCAGGACATGAAGTTTGTTGTTGTGTGTCTAGCTATCTCAAGTTATAAGTTTAGTGTTATTCATTTTTTTTTCCTTCGTTTGCTTTGTGTTTTTCCAGTGTTTTCGAGGTTGAAGACAAGGGACCAGGAGTGGTACTTCTTCAGTGCTTTGGACAAGAAGTATGGGAACGGTGCTAGAATGAACCGGGCGACTAACAAAGGGTATTGGAAAGCAACTGGAAAAGACAGAGAAATCCGCCGTGACATCCAGTTGCTTGGTATGAAAAAGACGCTTGTTTTCCACAGCGGGCGTGCCCCAGACGGGCTACGGACCAATTGGGTCATGCACGAGTATCGCCTTGTGGAATATGAAATCGAAACAAACGGAACCCCAGTGGTATAGTTTTGTTCTAAAGAGTTGCTTTCGAATTGGGTTATCCTGATATTGTCCAACGAAACTTCCTATCTTAACTCAATGCTTTGTTTGGGTGCAGCAAGATGCCTATGTGTTGTGCAGAGTGTTCCACAAGAATAACATTGGGCCACCAAGTGGGAACAGATATGCGCCGTTCATGGAAGAGGAATGGGCTGATGATGCAGGAGCTCTGATTCCAGGAGTAGATGTTAGGGTCCGGGTAGATCCGCTACCGCTAGCCAATGGAAACAACCAGATGAACCAGGTTTGTGCTTTCTTCATTCTCAGGCTTCAAATAACTCAGAAGCTGATTAGTTTCATTTCAATATTTCTTACATCCAAAAACTGTGTTGGAGCCATCGCTTAAGTGGCCTGAGTGAGTTTATTTGAACTGGACTAGCCTATTGATGAACCAATCTACTGTTTCAATGTTATTAAGTGCCAGTGTTGAAATTTATCCGATGAATCATCTCTCTTGATTCACAAGATATCATATTTTCTTATACGCAAAAGTTTTATTTTGAAGTGAAGGTCTCTAAGTGCTGTTTCAGTGAGCTGAGTAAGTTGAACTGGACTACAGGACTAGTCCATTGAGTCTGTAACCAACTCTTGTAGAACTCAAGCTTATCGATTTATCTTAGCAGTCACCTCTTTTGATTAACAAGATATCTAAATTTTCTTTGGTCCTATTTGTTTCTCTGGCTTTATTTACAAGCATGCTGATTACAAGATCTTTCGAACTTTGCATTCCCCTTCTGAGCAGTGCTTGTCATTTTGCATTCATATGAACTCACTTAATTGACCAGTGAATGTTGATCAGAAAGAGAATTAACCTGAGAAGGATTTGTTGTGTTTTTTTGTGAAACGCAGTTTTGACCGAAGCATTTTGTTTCAGATAGTGCCGTCTGTGATATAACTTGTAATTTGTCGTAGGAAATCAAGTCAGCAAGCAAGGACCTCATTAACATCAACGAGCCACCGAGAGAGTCTACTCCAATGGATATCGAACCTAACCATCAGAATCATCATGAGAATGCCGTCAAGCCGCAGGAGAATAACAACAGTAACCATTTTGATGAAGAAGAGGAAGCACTCAAGCGTGAGCATGCAGATGAAGACGAACAGCGTCCCCCTCCTCCGTGCATTCTCAACAAAGAAGCTCCGTTACCTCTCCTCCAATACAAACGCAGACGCCAGAATGAGTCCAACAACAACTCAAGCAGGACCACACAGGACCACTGTTCGTCCACAACAACAACCGTCGACAATACAACAACCTTAATCTCATCATCTGCTGCAGCCACCAACACTGCCATCTCTGCATTGCTTGAGTTCCAACTCATGGGTATCTCCGACAAGAAAAACCTGCAGCAACCTCTACGTCCTCACAAGGAAGCATCTCCTGAAGAGAGGCTTAATGATCTGCAGAAGGAGATTCACCAGATGTCTGTTGAGAGAGAAACTTTCAAGCTTGAGATGATGAGTGCAGAGGCTATGATCAGCATTCTCCAATCCAGGATCGATGCGCTGCGTCTGGAGAACGATGAGCTTAGGAAGAACAACGCCAAGGGACAAGAAGCGCTCTAAAACCATCAATCCAGGTTTCTTCTTCTTCTTTGCCTTTTAGCTCTAGTTTCCCTAATGTTATGAGCTATCTATGTAGCTTCTTCAGACGGATTTGGAACCGTGTCAGTCTCTGTTGTAAAATTAGGATAAAACGGATCGGTGTTGCTGAACCGGGTGTTTATTTTGATGTTTCTGCATCTGTTGAGAACATTTTCAGGTTGCTCTCCATTGTC